CTACGACGAGCTGGGCTCATTGAGGCCTGTGTGTTTCAGCAGATCGCAAGACATCGATCCCTTCGATGGGCTTCTCCAGAGAGGTTGTATGTGAGTTGACAGTTGAGTCGACAGGAAAACACCAGGGATACCTGGTGTCGCTTGCTATGCGCGTCGGGTGGTGCGCGTTGGGTGCAGCAAATGAACACCATAGCATGTCGGCCACAAGATCCCACGCCCGGGCTGGAGAGAAATAGAAGAGGGTTGTATTATGAAGAATGGCAACATCTTTTGTACACCCGCATGTGAGGGGGATATCATGACATGTCTCATCAAGAAGACCAAAAAAAAAAAAAATGAAAGGGGAGTTGTCCACAGCGACCGGTTGCCAGGATCCCACAACGCCCAAAAAGTCCAACTCTTATACAGTTCGCACCACCGAGCACAGGCCGCGTTGACAGCCAGCGCATACCGGCACTGGCCTGGCTCACCCACGCACTTCGGATTCGCCCTTTCTGTCCGCTCAGAATTCACCTTCAGCGCTGTTGCCGATGACACCGGCCGCCCAGAGCCCGACGAGCCCCCACCAGCTGACTTTCCATCCGCGCCAGAGGCCCTCGGCGCCCTGGCCCTTGTGGTAGACCGTCTCTGCGACTCTGGCCTTGTTCTTCGCCTTGCCGGTTCTAGCGGTTGTCGGCTTGTTGGCCACAGCGCGGGAGCCTTCCTCATGCATGATGTGCAGCATCGTTCCCGTCACACCAGCATACCGGCCCGCCGGCACAACTGTCTCGAGCTTGACCTCCCGGGGTTCCAGCGCCCGCATGTACGGCGCGCTCGACAAGATGGCCACCTGGCCGCGGCGGAGGACAGTCTCAAGGGGGAGCTTGGCGAACAGCGCCGCCGAGGAAGCACAAAACTTGGCGATGGAAAATGTCGTCGGAGAGACCTGACTATCAATCATGAAGCGAGTGCGAAGCACAAGAGGAGTCGACAGCGTCAGGAGAGGGTGGATGAGTGAGTGGAAGATGGTAGGGAGCACAAGCACAGGAGCGCAGAGGTAGGACGGGAGAGCGCGGAGAGTGGACAGGGTCCGCCTTGAACCTCTCGATATCGGGGTCAGGAGAAGCCTTGAAATAGTGTTAGACCAGAATTTCGGAGCGATAAGCGACACAGTGCTTACCGCGTGCGGACCAAATCCAGCGGCGCGAGCATCAAGCCCGTCGCCACGGCCGCTGCCGCCGCCACACCGAGCGAGGCCCAGGGATAAGGCGATGCAATGTCGATCATCCTCTCGATATCGTCTTTGACGCCGAGATCGGGAACATTGAACAGCGCGCTCAGAGCACTCCTAGACCAGTTCTCTAACAGCGAGGAAAGAACCGTGTAGAGAAAGGTAGCATTGGAGCCTTTCCATACGCCCCAAGCACCCTCCTTCTGCCACAGCTGGCCGATGACCTCGGTCACAGAATCGGGCAGACGAATGTTGAGCTGCGTAGCTGCCGCAGAGCCCTTGAATGACGGCCGTGGCGACGGGAGCGACGAAGAGTCCTGACGGTTCCGTCGGCCTCGGTGGGCGGGTGTAGGCGTTTCCTGGACATTCGACGTGAAGTAGGCGGGCTCGTCGGGATCCGAGTCGGATGCGTGGTCGTCTTGCAACAATTCCTCGTCTCCATAGTTGGATATCCTCCTGGTGGCAAGGGGCGTCGAAACCGGGGTGGCACCGTTGAGAACAATGTCGTCGTTGCTCCTGACCTGAAGTACGGTTTTGGCGACCTCGAAAGGTTGGGCCATCAGAACCGATGTGTATTTCCATAACAGCTCGTCAATAATTTCCTTGACCGTCTGGACAGCAGAGGGTGACGGGTCGCCGATGTAGTCCTTGTAGTCCATGTCGTTGAACATGTCACGCGCCTTGGACGCGTAACGATCACCCGATGGCGCATTGCTGGAGAAGGGATTCGCAGGTGCAGGTGTCGGATCATGAACCTCGCCTATTGTCGGTGGTTTGTAGTAAGGGCGCAAGGGGTTAACCCCTTCTCGATGTGAAGCCATTGTGCGAGCGATGCAGGTTGTGCAGCATCGTCCAGCAAACAGCGGGGGGGGGAGGTGATGTGATGTTGCTGATACTGGCTTTTGCTTGTGTCTGTGTCTGGTCGCTGGCGTCACTGGCGCCAAATTTGCATGACGGCAGCTGCAGCAACATCAGCACTGGCAGGAGCACCTCAGCACTGGCAGGAGCACCTCAGCACTGGCAAGAGCGGCACCAGTAGCAGCTCGGAGATAAAGCGAGGATTTGGTAAGCAGCCCCAAACGTCAACATCTTCGTGGGTCTTTTTTTCGGGGTGCTCGTCCAATGGAGAGGCACCGTTTGTTAAGCTCTCCCCCTCGATAACCGATGCTGCTTATCGGAGCTGCCGTCAGACAAATTTCGCAGGCGCCGACCCGGTGCTGCCCCGTGGAGCGACTTCGCATTTGATCTTGACCCGGTAGACAGGGCGGTTCAATTTCCTCTGCCACTGCGGCCCAGACTACTTTCGGAATCCTTCCGACCGACAATCCCAAGCACGCGATACCGACCATCGAGGCTTCCTATCTTCGACATTGAAAGAAACCGTGCGCGTCATCACCGCACGCAGGCCGACCACCCGACCAGTCATCCACCCCAACCTTCACGATCCCCCACACCATGAACACGTACGCCCCCGTCACCGGAGCCATCCGGCGCCTGGCTGCCAATGCTTCACGTCAAGCCCGGTCCGTCCAGATGACCACACGATCCTACCAGACGCAGTCGCCTCTCGTCGTTTCCCGGCGTCTCCCAGTCAAGCTGGCCAACAGGAGGATACAATGGCCGCAGGCGCGCGCCTTCTCTGCGACGGCTGCGACGTCCCACGGTCATCTCGACCCCCCCAAGCCTGGCGAAGAGTAAGATTTTCCCTTGCCATTTCCCTCCATTGTGGTCCTAACATTGTGTAGGCTCTGGGTCACATTCGTCGACAAGGATGGCGATGAGCACAAAATTGCCGTGTGTGAGGGGGACAACCTGTTGGATATCGCGCAGGACAACGATCTCGAGATGGAGGGTGAGCATTATTTTCGCCAATCTCACTCGGCCGAATACGTATGAGCTAATATTTACAAGGCGCTTGCGGCGGATCATGTGCATGCTCAACATGCCACGTCATTGTCGTTGACGAAGCCCATTACGACGCGATGGAGGAGCCTGACGATGACGAGAACGACATGCTGGACCTCGCTTTTGGTCTGACTGAGACGAGTAGGCTGGGATGCCAGGTCAAGATGACCAAGGCGCTGGATGGACTGACGGTCAAGCTGCCGACGATGACGCGGAACCTACAAGCCAGCGACTTTAGCTAAGGCCGAGCACAACAGAACAGAACCCAGATGTAATTATGCTGTACAACAAATTTCAGGAGAGAGTGCAAACGAGGCTGGTGATGTGAGAATGGAGGGCGGGGGTGGGGGCATGTGTCACACCAGCAGCAGCACCGTTTCGTGATTCGAGGGTATCTAGGGAAATTGGATAGAGGAACACGTCACTCTCAGAAATCTACAAAAAAACGCCAGCGTACTCAGCTAGCGTCTTCCACGC